CTTTCGCTTTCTGCCAGCGCTCCTTAGCGCTACTGAGAAACACGGACGCTTTTCCAGCACAGGATAAAATATCTAGCATGCTGTGCCAGGCTTGTTTAGGTCCACATTAACTACGCAACACGGTAGTAGTTAGCCATTAGCTGGCCGTTGCTCGGGTTCACATCACACGTGGGCTACTGAGTTTGCCGCGAGAGCTCGCAGCGCGCGGCCAAGCTCAACGGCTATCGGCAGCTAGCTTGTTTTCTACAGTCTTCCAGGAGGAAAATTGAGTCTCGTCTTACCTCAGACTGTTTCCTGACATTGTTGTCAGCGTTCATAAGGTTCCCCAGCAAGAGGTAGAACTGCTGCTGTTCCGCCATTGCGGTTAGATCCAAAAAAGAGCAGCCGGGCGGAGAAGCGGCGAAATGAACCCGGCAGACGCACCTTTGGCCGCACAATTTAGAGACCACACCATTGGCTGGCTTGAGCAACTCTATCCATCCTCTATTGGACCACGGACTTGGGAGCGGGCGCTCGCTATTGGTCAATAGAAACTCTGTGTCCTTACTGGCTTATGCGACACAGAAACTTGAATATATTGTTTGCATTGGCTACCAATGAACTGTCAAAGCGCGGGAGTTTATTACGTCAATGTTTAGAGAATAAAAACACAAATGCGATAATGTTAATAAGATAATAATTTGGTTATTTGTCACCAGGACTCCAATAGACACATATAAATCACAACAAAATAGTAGAATATGTGAATTAGTCAATAAGTCAATTAAAATAAAAATCCTAAAATGAAATTAAAAGTTATCCAACTAATTTCATCCAATTATTTTCAGTCATTGTGGGCAAGAAGGACCTCAGGTAGAGGTCAGTCTTTCAGGGTATCTGAAGAGGCCTCTGACTGAAGATTGTTACTGTATCTCATGACTGTAATAATGCCAATAGTTCATTTTATTCTAAAGTGACTTGCTAAAACCCAAGGCCACTTTAAGAAGAACAATTAAACAAAATTATCAACAAAACGGTTCATTTTAAAATGCAAATCAGCACACAAGATTTGACAACAGTTCAAATGTGTATGTAAAATGAAAAATCAATTTTGAACAGGTGTGTTTTGAATAAAGGAAGATGATCCATAAGCCTAATGACTGGAGGATGTTATAACTTTCTTAATGGCCGTATGTAATTTTGTAATATTGTGAGGAACTCAATTTTGGGTTAGATAATATTGTAATATTTAATTTTATTATAGGGTTTTTGGAGATAATTTTATATATTTTCATCCACTAGATGGTAGCAAATCATGCTTCAATTATGCCACTTACCTGTAATTGTTTTTCAAAACCGATTGTCTGGTACAAGAAAGAAAAAACGTACAAACTCCCTTCTTCACAAAACTTTCGAATAGATCTTAATTAGATTCATATTTAGTTGCCTAGGATATTTCTGATTTTGACAACCAAACTTAACAGTATTTAACATTATCTAATGCTATGCTACAATGAGCATTTTAATCATCTCTAACAAGAAAAGGGTGAAACATATCAAAAGGCCTGTGTTTATAAAATGTATTATTTAATAATTCAGCCTCACTCTACAGCACCCTCTAGTGGTAGAGTCTAAAATCCACTGCCAGGGTTGCAGAGAGCAGACAGGTAAATTACCAGTCATTTTGTCAGTCTGAAATAGAAACCTTGCAGTATTTTTATCTGAATTTTTAATCAATTAAACAAAATCTGAAAAGTGTGGTGTGCATTTTTATTTCGCATCATGAGTCAACCCTTTGTATCTTCCACAGCAAATATAGACATGAAGCGTCTGTAAAGATCAATTTTCAAGACATACAACAGATTCGTAATCCGATTCAGGTCTGGGCTTTGACTAGAACATTCTAGATCTAAAGCATCCACTGCACCTCTGACTGGATAGAGTTTTGGTCTCTGCTGAAGAAAAGCACCGCCACAGCATAATGCTGCAACTGCTCTGGTTCGCCATATATAATTATATAATTGTGCCACGTACAAGTCAATGATTCTGAAAACAAGAACTGGGTGAGCAGGTTTGAATTGATTGTGTTTTTCCTCTAATTTTTTTGAGCTAAAAATATAAATATTGCCTCAGATATGAACATAGAACCCTGCAAACATTTGCTTGACAGCTGGTAAATAAATCAATGAAAGTTTAAATTAACCCATTCATGAATGGGGTTTATTTAACCTCCTGTTGAGTCCTGCCTCTGTGTTTGCAGAAACACAGCTGGACGCTGGCATCACACCGAGCTGAAGTGAAAAAGCGGAAGCCTGAAGTTGTTTCTTGCAATTAACAGGAAGCTGAGCATTTAGCTTTTCTAGCTCACTCTGGCCAAAACAAACAGGAGGCTCTAAGGGGGTGCTTGACCTTTATTTGTTTAAGTAAACATGTTGAGACTTTTTCTTGTAAGTCTTGTCGGAAACAGAGTTTCGATGTCAGCATGTGAACATAGAAATTAGTGTATGGGGAGCAGCAGAAGGTGATGCAGATGTGATTAAAGAAATTTTGCATTCACCCTAAAATGACCAGAAAAAGATTCTGGAGCGGACTAGTAAAAGTAAGAAGCTTAGGAAGTTGTGGAATGAGGTTAAACAGATCGTTTGAAAATTTGTTTAATGATTTAAACATGCAAGTGTGGCAAGTCTCAACATATATCGCCGTTCATGATGTCTTTTCACATAAATATATATATATATATTTTTGTTTTAATCTAATGATGTGAAGACTAAATGTATAACTGCTTTCTCTGCAGCCTCGGAAACCTTTTAAGGGTTAATAGGCAGCGAGTGGAACGGCATGAGATCCCAACCAAAGTAAAAAAATAGCTCAAACTACCTGCTTTAGAAAACCACAGTTGCCCCATTTAGCATTTTTATTTCCAAACCATAAGAAGAGCAACATATAAAATCTAAAGACATACCGGCAGATGCAGAGCAGATGTTTTGTTTTGAGGACTTCGTGTAAAGGTCTTGGCTTACTTCTTGTAACATTCTCCAGAATTTCATGTAGTTTTTATTTATGATTCACTGTGCATATTGTTGGGCTGGTGGAAACCACCTGAATGTGTGAAAGATTGCGGGTGTGACTCTTGCTCGCTGGGTTTTTACAGCTCCCGCGGAAAGGTGGACCTCAGTGGCCTTCGGATTTTCAAAGATCAACACAGCCAGTCTTCAACGCGAAGTAAGCTGCGTGTTTAAAGTATTAAAAGTCAATATTTCTCTGTGACACACAAATCTGCTTCACAGTCCGGCTCTATGTGCAGCACAAGGCGTCCATTGAAAGACAGGAGGAGAGGGGGGGTTACGAGTTGTTGGGTTGCCACTTCATGCCTCCCGATCATAGATTGATGAGGCTGTGCAAGATCGATGGGCTTTTTCCATGTAACAATGGATATTTTAGTATTTTAATGTATTTCTTACATTTTATAAAAAAAAAAGGGTTAAATGAAAAAATCTGCAGCGTGTCAATATTTTTATCCGATTAATCGTCAGAATAATCAACATGTTAATTGATGAGTGCTTTTAGAGGAGGTCTCGAGTATTCACGGATTTCATCTATTCATGGACAACTGTGGTTTCCCATGATTACTTTCACTCACTTAACTGACAAACTGTCGGGTTCATTTAAGTCCAGTGAGAAGTTTTGGTGAAAGAATGACTTGCTGAGCTCTCGCCATGCTTGTAATCCTTTAGCCTCTGTGGTGACAGGCGTGCCGTAAAAACACAACCCGAGGAGGTCATCCTGAAGTTTACACAGAAACGAGCCATTCATCCTCAAAGGTGGAAGAGTGGGGATGGGGGTGACTCTGCTGTGGCTGAGGCTGAGAGAGATGGATGTCCACCCTGTGAAAGAGGAGGATGAGGCCGGGAAATGTTATTTGTCTTTCATGCTCTACTGCGCACATGTTGAGCCAAACGAGCCTGCCACATGATTTATTGCTGTCATTAATTTCTGAATGGTAGGTCACCGCTGCCCCGTTATCAGATTGACAGCCAATTTTCCAGCCAAGCCCGACCGATGTCTCAGACAAAGCGTAATATTTTCTGCTTGTTGACACAGACGGGTTGATGAATATGTCAATGTAAAGATGCAATATTCCAAATCCAGCATGTAGTGCCCTGCAAAGGATGTCACATCTCTCAAACTGCTAAGTTTTGACATGCTACATGTAATTTTAATCTTAATTTACATTCTGGATTCCTAAAGCTTGGTGTCTGATCTTTGGAACGTCACTGTTTCCAATGCAACGCTCCAAAGAACCACATTATATCAAAGAGGTGACAGTTCTCCAGCAGTAATTAGGTAGAATTGGGTTCCTTATGGTGTTTGCATCAAGTTGAATTACGCAGGAAAATATTTTGAATGAGTAAACCAATCTTGGTTCAGCGAATCAGCGCTAAGGAAAATAAATAGAGCTCCTGAATTGGCTGTTCTGCAAATACCAACCAATAGTATAGATAGCATTGAGGCAAGGCATTTCAGCTTCTTGAATATGGAACGTGGTATTTACAATATGAAAATAAATATGTTGGTGTTCTGAAACTAAACTAAAAAACATTTTGCTCCAGCAGGAGGCAGCAGCTGCAGAGATTGTGCATCTATAGATTAATTATCTCAATAAGTTCATGGAATCAGACATAATCAGTCTCCATTCTTTCTTTCTCTAAACTGTAATGGCATTTAGAAAACAATGCACATAATTATCTTATGTATGAATATGAAAAGTATGAATTTACATGAGAATCTGTTTTCTGCAAATCTCATGAATTTAGTTCTTTTTTTAACAAAATCTTCAACTAAATCTAAAGCTGGTTGCTCAGATTTTGGAGGAACTTTCCAGTTTGCTGAGCACAAACAGAAATGCCCAGTCCTCCTAGTTGCCCCCTTCATCTGTCTCTCCTCCCCCCACACACATGCACCGCTACCTCCCTTCACCTCCTTGCTCCCTCTCTGGTCAGCGTGCGGCTGTGTGTCGATGTGTACCAAGTTTCCCCTCGTGGTTTTTATACCGCTCTCTTTCCCTCCCGTCATGTGAAGCACCGTGATCTGCACCGCTTATCATTTTTTCTGCACTCTGGATGCAAGGATGAGCAAGTAAGTAAAGAATGTTTTAAATGTATTCTTCTATTATAAATATGCAGTGTCTAAGCAGGCACGTGGTCCATGAGAAGCTGGCTGTTCAAATGCTGTGTTTTTCTGTCCATTGGTGTAATTCTCCTTGTTGTGCATGACCGCATTTCCTGCAAGCTCTTTGCCCTCAACTTATCTGTGTCTCCGTGCGCCGCGTTCAGCATGGATACCCGTTTGTTAAGACATCAGGTGATGTGTGCTGGATGCTTTTTTTGCTCCCTTTCAGCCAAAGTTGTGTGAGAGAAGTGAGGCAGGAGGCATGTTAGATGAATGTAAGAATGAGTGAAGCGGTGGCTGATGTTTTGATTTTTCTCTTGTTGTGATGCTAATATCGCCAGCCTGAAAGAGTCCATGGAGTTATATGTTTTCAATATGATTCTTGATATCAAAACAGATTTGAAACATTAATATGTTTCAGAGCATCAAACTTTATTGTAAGAGAATTTCACCAAGTAAATGTGAAAGTTATCAAATTGTTTGATCTACAAAGCAGATCTACCAAATTACCCTATAGAAAGTATTATTATCTCGCTTCTTAACATATTAATTGATAGTAGTTAATCAATTTGACTAGCCAGACCCAGACCTGATAACTGTCAGACTGAAGAAATATTAGAACCTGTCGACATGAAGTAGGCAAAAATGTATTGATATGAGAAGCATATCATGTGATTTGATTGGTGATAAAAACCAGAAAGTTAATTGTTTTCCTTTTCATAGGCAGTTAAATGAAACAGGTATTCAAAATAAGTATTTCTCTATTAACCAGCCATGACCAGCTGCTCTCTACAAGACTTTAGCAGAGGATTAAAAAAAGAATAACATATTTCAGAGAGAAACCTGGGGTTATAAGGTTTTGTTATTTTAAAGAAAACAGTATGTAATGCATTCAATTGCAATGACTTGAATGCACAAGACTCCACTTCTGAAGAAAAAAAATGCTAAACTTGTTTAATGTTTGCTGCAAAACGCCTGGACAAATTAATAAAATAGCAGAAGAATAGACTCTGGTGAAATGAGGCCAAAATAAATTTCTCTGGATATCTTTAAACATGTCATGTTTGGAGGAGAAACGACACTGCACATCACCCCAAAAGCACTATACCAATAGTGAGGTTTTAGATCGGGACACTGGTTTGGAGTTATCTTTTAAGTACATCGTACTGGCAGGTTCCAAATAACAGAAAGAAGGAAGAAAGGAGAAATGTGCTGAAACATTTTTGATGACAGAACCTTAAGATTGCACAAGACTTCAGTGTTTTTGGAACAAGGATCCCAAATACACAGCCAAGTAAACTCTCAGCTGGCTTTAGAAAAAGAAAATAAAGTTACTAGAAAGGATCCAGCCAGTTACTTTCCTTGGATATAATAGAAAATCAATTGAAACATCTGAACATCATAGTGCTGAGAAGGATAAAATCACCAAACTGAACACAGCTCTTCATTCTGGGGTTGGGAAGCAGCCCTGCACCTGTTTGCTTTCCCGTGGTCCTCCTGAATGGACGAAGTTTGCTCAGTTGTCATGTCTCATCATGTGACCCAAACACTGGTCATGTGAGGTGGCTTTGAATGGATCATTCTGTCTTTTTTGTGGTGGTCCTGAATGTTGTCGGTCCCTGCTCTATGTTTGGTGACGACAGTCTGGTACGTGAAGCAGATGTGATTACTAAATAGTGAGCTGTTTGGTCAGGATACATTTGAGCAACTCCAGCTCGGTGATACTGTTACAAGATAGTTTAATTTTTCTAAAGAAGACAGAAAATACATCTTTGTTGCTGATTTCTGTCTGTATTAGCCCTCTTCTTCATCATTACTTCAGCATAGATTATTCATTGATCCCCAATTTAAAAAAATAACTGCCATCTCAAGGTCAAAACAAGTGAAATGTATAATCCACCAAATTATTAAGAAATACAGTCCAATCCAGCTGATCACTTAAATGTCAACGCTTAAATAGTCCAATGCTATCCAAGGAAATTCATCCTGAGCAAGCATGTGGTGACAGTGGAGAGAAATTTGTTCCTTTAAACAAAAAGAAGCCAATAGGAGAACCCGATTCTGTGTAACCAGCCACCTGCTGCAACCAGAAGGAATGGAAGAAAAAAGGAATAGTAAAAAACCAGACCAAGAATACCTTCTAATGAAAAATTATTTTTGAAACAGGTTTCTGCACAAAGATGTGAATTTCTGTTAAAATAGACTAATTTCATGTTCCAATGTGAAATATGCATTGCCAATTATTTACTGCAAAGACTTTGAACTTTTTTTTTCTAAAGCAAGTTGTTTAAAGATATTCTGGGAATCATGCACGAAACTTATAGAGATTTTCCCCAAGATGTACTCCCACAAAGTTGTGAAACTCTTCTTCAACCGTCCTGGCTGGACCGTTTCTTCCAGAAAAGCAAAAGAAGAGGAGTTTACTGATAAGGCAGCGGGAGCAGAGATGAGATGATCCGTGCAGCTGTGTGCCTCTTTAGGATTCCTCCTCTCTACCTCCTCTTGCCAGGGCCAAACCGCCATCATTAGGTTTGGCACACAACCCGAGCATCCATTGTTGGGGCAGCCATGGCACGTTAGTGTGTCTTTTTAACTGTGGCTAAACTCAGTCTATTCACTTGTAAAAGAGAGCAGCCATTGCAGAAAGTTGGCAGGTTGCACAGAGAGGCCATTCACCCCACTAGGAAGGAGCTGAGAACACTGCCTCGGAAATGGTCCTCTCTGAATATTTTGATGGAGAGGCTTCGGGTGGCCTCTCAATATCCATTTGCTCTAAGTCGAAAATCTCCACAAAACGACTCCAGTGGTGATCAATACTACTGCTGGTTACAGTTGAGGGGTTGCTTGCTTTGAAAGAATTTCAGGAATCTGCTTTTAGGATTTCTTGTGAATCTTCTTTTCAGATTAAGGAGGAATCTAGAGCAGGAATCCCAGGTTTTGTGGTAGTAAGGAGGAGTGGGTTGATTCACTGTTTCCTTTCAAGATATCTGGACTGAGTCCAAGTACTCGGTTGGTTTCAACAAGAGTCTGATATACGAGGGTCAGATGCGGGACCCCCAACTTTTATTTTCGATGCTTGCAGGGAACAAATTACAGGGCAGCTGAATGAACAAATAATTACTTGTAATTAATTTCCCTGTCATACATCTCCACAATGAAAAGCATTTGGATTTGATTGAAGCCCGCCTCAGCGTGCTCTCCCACCATCTCAGCAGGCTCGTTTTCAAGACCCTGCGATTGTCCGTTTGAAAATTGCTCCATCTTTTGTGGGCATCGTGCGACATATATGATTATCTATAATGGCAGTTCTGCGAGAAATGAAGGAAGCGGCCTAATTCATCCTGGGGGAAAATAAAAGAAGAATAGTGCTTGTTTGATGTAGTAAAGGTTGTCATCTAGTCTCAAAGGAGGTTCAGCCATGCCTTACTCTCCCCACCTTCATTCGTAATCAAGCAGAATCAAGCAGTGAGCTGAAGGTATTCAAGTGAGACGCACTGAGGGAGGGCCATCCTTTTGGCTTAAGAGAAGAGTGAAATGTTCTTCGCTGCAGTTTCTTCTGAAGACAAAGGCAAGGGTGCTTGAATAGAAAGTTCTTGTGAGTAAATGAGACTGAGCTCCAAAGCGCAAGAGTTGCTCCGGATCAATATGAACACACAATTCACACCTATGGCTTACCGTTTTGCTCCTTGCTACTTCCATCAAGTCATTTCGTACTTGCATCAAATCATGGACCCCTCCCCCCAAAGTAAAACTAAACAAAAAAAAGCATTAAGCAACCACCTTCTGGTGCATGGTATTTAATGGAGTCACACGGCCAAGTTTCCGTAGAGTAAACTATGACAAAAATATAGAAAATTGCTTTAAATTGTTGGTTGTGATGTGAAATTTCTCCCCATCTGGTGAGAACTATACAAAAAAATATCAAGACAAATTCACCAAAGTCAGTGTGTCTTTGCTTTGACACAAAGGAAAATAATTACACAAGCAATTTACTATAGAAATTACAAATTTTCATGGCCGGACAAATTTTAATTACTGATCATGAGCAGAAATGGATTTTTAAGGTATTTCCACAGCTGGGAGACTTATTTAGTGAACTTCAAAGTACAAGTCCTTTTGAAGCCCGGAGGTCTGGACATGTGAACTTCTTTGTGATTCATCAGACTCTAGAGTGACTCTGTGTTATTGCTCAGCAAAACCAGGTTTAGGTTGCACACACGCACATCCTCCCCTATCAATGCTTTTTTGGTAAATTCAAGTTAAAATATTGATCCAAGTATTTAATTCACAAAGTAAATACATCAACCTCTATGGTTGATGAAAGGGTTTCACCTTTTCTCCAAATAGAGATGAGTATTTAAAGAACTTATCCAAATCATGTGGCAGTAACAAATGTTAGGGTGAAGTACAAGAACAAAGGGATTACCCATATATAGGCATTGGGTTTAAAGAGGAAGCAAGCAGAGCCGTTTCTGGTGTAGGAAACTGTTAACATCAGAGGAGATGATGGACAACAGACCTCAGCCTAATGACCTGCGGGCCCACATTAGTTTTGGTCAACAGTATGTATTTCACAATCCAGTTAAGCTTGTTCTCGGTGTAAAGTGCTACGACTGCCGATTGTTTTGGTCTGCTGAGGATTGATTTTATCAAAGCAGTGAGTGCTAACATTACTGCTTAATCTGGGTTTAGCTCTGTGCGACTGAGTTTTAATCTCTCCCCGTGGAAATCCAGGTATTTAAGAAGCGAGATTAGTCCCGAGTGAGTAAAACAGCAGGCATACAGAGCTGCATTAGATGCCAAAACATAGAGCTGTCTTTCACTAGTGTTATTTACTGTACCTTACAGCAGCTGGTTCCTCAGTTAAGACCTTGGCATGGTTTCTTGTATGAGGAGGTCACATGTTTTACTTTGAGGTCCTGTGGGATTTCTTTCCCTCCTCAGTGCAAACACAAAACAGGTCACATGAATTGAAGAGTCTGTATTTCTAATCTCCACACAAGCTGGTATGGCTTTGTGGTGTTTTTCCAAAACCGGCAGCATCATAAATAAATCCTCTGACAGGCCGGTGGGTTTTGGAAACAGTGCTGAGCCTGAATTTCTTCTGCCGTACTTCCTATTTCACCTCGACTATGGCTGGATACTCAATCCAAAATAGCTCAAGGCTGATTCAGGTCTGGCAGCAAAATGCGTTTTTTGCTTCAAATATACAAAACATAGTCTGATCAGCTGGGCCATGTCGGATGGACCGTCAGCTTTGACACTAATTTAAGAGTTTTTTTGTTTTGCAATTGTGACCAATCCAATAGAGGAAGCTAAAGTCAGCAACATGTGAATCAGATTATTTAAGATCACAAACGATTGAACACAGACTGACCATACAATCAAGAACTTTGCCTTTGGAGTAACATCCAGATTACTCAGAATGAGCCATTTATTGATGAAGATATTTCAATTCCTTGAGGATAAGATTTGTCCTCCATGAGTGTTTTTAAAGGATTGCGCAGAGAGATTGTAGTTTACAACATTTCCAAAATTCCACTTTTCCCACGACACAAGAATTTTTAATTCACTTCATTGAATGAAAAAGCTCAAATGTGCTTGAAATAACTGCTGCCTCATGTTAGCAATGGGTTTCTGCAAAGATACGTGGTTAGCTATCATCGCTTTGTTTCAAAATAGCCTAAAAAGCTGCTGGTAGACATATTAGCATTATGAACAGCTTTCCAAATCACCAAGAACTTCAAAGTGTGAGAGTGATTGTTGGAGTCAAGAAGGGTTCTGGACAACCTTTTTTCTTTTTGTATTTTTTGTTCCATCCTTCCCTGAGCCTGTCTTTTCTTTCTGGCTTGTAAAAAGGTCCTTAGTCACTTCCCCCTTCCTCTATTTCTTTCCTTTCTTGTGTCCTTCATTTCCTCTTTCATTCAATCCTTCCATATTTTAGTTTTTTTCCAAACTCCAAATTCAAAGCCTCTTTCTAAAAATGATACCAAAACTTCTACAGCGTTGAGTCATCAAAAGTCTGTAATTTTTACATGAAAAATGCGTCGACCCCCATTTACTTTCACGAGACACATATTGATTGTCTGTGTGAGTATGTTTCTCTGCAGCCCTGGAGAATCGGTGTGACACATGCATTGTTCCCAAACAGACAGACCCCAGAACATCAGGCCTCTCTGTTGCTGGGCCGTGCACCGTCTCATTTGCAAAGCCACAACACAAAAGCGAGGCCAGCAGTGGAAGCAGCGTTTCCCTCCCCACTTCATTGAGCAACAATGTAAGAACCAGCAGGTTCAAAAGCCTCTGCCTCCACACACACGCAGTTCTCACAGCGAGTAGATCTTCACTGCCTTCATTCCCATGGCTGGTGGCAAACTAAAGATGAAAATTGACAGCATGCTGCAAGGCATTCCAGCTGCTTTCATATCGCAAACATCACCACAAATTTAGGTACAGGTTAAAAAAAGACAAACTTAATTGTTTGGAAATATTTCTAGTGGATTGCAGGTCATTCACTGGATGTCCCTCTTTTAAAGGCTCTGCTGTTGCAAAATAATAGTTTGCAACAAGCTGTGAGATTTGCCGTCTGTAAAATAAATGACATTCTGATGGTTCAGTAATGGGGAACGTAAACCAACTGATTACAGTGCCTGGTGAAGTTATTCGTATCTCTTGAACTTTTTCACGTTTCGCCATCTTCCAATCACAAACTTCAATTCATATGACCCAATATGAAGTAGCGCATAGGTAGAAAAGGATGAACAGTTTTCTTTATAAAACAAATATGAAAAGTGGAGTGTGAATTTACATTGAAGCTAAAACAGCTTTCATTGCGAGTGTTTTATGTGGTGGGTCTCTATCAGATTCGATTGATATTTTGAAAATTCGTCTTCAAAATGTAGCTCAAGAATTACTTTAACTTTGTTATAATTTTCTTGGATAAACTTCTGCATCCTAAACTATTCTTCCAGAAGTACACAAGCAAACATCCGCATAAAATACTCCACCTTGTTACTTTACCGCGGCTTTAAAACTTATGAAGCTGTTTGTCGGCCCCAACAGGCACGACTGATACAAACCAGTCCCCTTGTGAACCTTAAGTCATCATCAGTCAGCAGATTGGATGTGCATAAATGGATTTTGATAAGCGTTCATGCCCCCTGTTTGGCTGTGAGCCCAGACGAATCTCTCTGAGGAGGCCCTCAGTCAGAAATGCCACCTTCGGTTTTTAGAGGCATCTTTAAAGAGATTGGCGGTTCTGGCCCTTTTAAGGTGAATTGGCCATGACTGTATCCCGCTGACAGTGAGAGGCCGGACTGTCGGAGCAGTCAAACAGAGGCAGCAGGGGGACTCAGGGCTGATTTAGATGAATGCCGAATGGAGCAGATAAAAAACTATAAGCTTCTCCATGATTGATGTTTTTTATTATTTTACCACCTACATTTTGCAAACGAGTTTTAATTCTTAATTTCTGTCTTCGGCAGGTGATTCTTGCGGACCTGCATTAGGACTGAATGTGGTTGTAACTATGGTAACGACAGGGTGGAGGGCATGGACCCTCTCCCCTTGTGGACTCATGCTGGTCATTGGTTGGTCTGTGAGTTTGTCCCAGCGCCAGAACGTCAGTCTTGCAGACTGCAGCAGGAAAGAGCATCCCGTTGTCTCCTATCAAGGTGAGTTCTTCCTTTTACTCACTGAAAGTTCTCAAGCTTAGATTAGCTGACGAAATGCATTATGCGCTTTTCTGCAAGGTTTCTATGCATATGTATGAAAGCAGCACAATCTGAATGTCTTGCACCGTGTTGGCACTGCAGAGGTCAAAGTCCGAGGACTTAGAACAAGTCTGTGTCTGGAAAACAAATGACTTTTCTGTCTGAGCTGCAGGATTAGTGTTGTGAATGTGAGCGTGTGCTTGGACTCCGCATTTGGTTGCTTCGCAGCCAAGTTCACTCAAGCTTTATGCGATCAACTCTCCTGAAAACTGAAAACTCTATCAGAGCTGGTCTACAACTCTCATGAAAAAGCTTTCACAGAAATCAAGAGTTGCATTTAATGAATGATAATAAGGGGCAGCTTTTATTTTTGGAATAAAAGCAAATTGAATCAAATTTCAATATTTCATTTATTTACACATAATAAACTAATTAATTTAGATTGCAATTGTCAGTGGTATCTGAAATAACTTTTCCTCTAGTCTCTATTTCTAACGGTTTCAAATGTGAGATGTGTGCATTCCTTTCAGTGCAGGAGGAGTAATCTGCTCTGAAACATACACCAGATATTTTTGAATGCAGAAAGTTTATGCAATAGGTTAAAATGACTAAAACATTATTTTATTTTCTCACCCAAAATACCCAAAATTCGGACAAGAAGAAAACATTTGCAGGATAAGTCAAGAAAAAAAATTCTGAAAGAGGTAAATGAGCCTTTAAACATTGTGCCTCGCTCTATGACATCTTTATGTTTTGGAAATGTCAAAATTTGGCAACATATCAAGCGCAAAGTGCAACCTTTAAGTTCGCGCCTCTGGAAGATTGTGCTCTTGTGAACCCTGAAGAGATCCTTCAAAACCACAATGTTTTTTCTCTACTGAAAAAAAAAAATCTCCCGAAACCCCTTTCAAATTCTTAGATTTTGATACATTTCACTTTTACTTAAACACGTTAGTCTTCAAAAACTATTTACGTCTGAGATACAGTATGTCTTCCAATTTCCAGATTTGAGGATGTGGATGTTTGAGTTTTCCTATCCAGGAGTGAAGGATTTCTCCCAGCTGGCCATGGACATGAGCAGAAACCAACTAATTGTAGGGGCAAGGTCAGTACAACCGTCACACGACTTCCCCACTGCTTACAATTTGCTTTCTAATCAGAAGTTTCATTTTTCAGAAACTTCCTCTTCCGGCTGAGTTTAAGCAACACCTCCCTCATACAGGTAAGCAAGAAGTGCAGAATAATTCCTCTGTTTTAATCCTTTTTAAGTCTGTTTTAAGTCTTGCTATTGAATGTTTAAAATCTCAACTCCAAAAACTGCTCCATACATTGCAACCAGTATTTAAAATATAAATTATCAAAACTGTTTGGTTTTTTTTTACTCAGGCAACCGAATGGTCTCCTGATGAAGACACAAAGCGCTCGTGTCAAAGCAAGGGGAAATCTGAGGTGATATGTTGCAAAATCTGGCCGAGTCAATCACTTTCACTCAAGCAAACTCAAACACTACAAATCTTTCACTCTTCAATGACATGCAGGACGAATGTCAAAACTACATCCGGGTTTTGCTCATCAATGGGAGAATGCTCTTCACATGTGGAACAAATGCTTTCACGCCTGTCTGTGTATCTAGGCAGGTTGGTACTCACAGCCTTTTCTGAATAGTTTTCCATATTTCATTTGATATGTTTTTTGTTTTGTTTGAATATTTAAAGAAATATTTATTCCATTCTGTTAGATTTCCAACACCAGTCATGTTCTGGACACAGTGAACGGTGTCGCCCGCTGTCCCTACGACCCCCGCCACAACTCCACTGCCATGGTGACACAGAGGGGGGAACTGTACGCCGCCACGGTGATCGATTTCTCCGGACGCGACCCGGTCATCTACAGAAGTCTGGGGAACATGCCACCTCTTCGGACCGCCCAGTACAACTCCAAATGGCTCAATGGTTAGAACGGAACCACACCTGTTTAGATTTGTCCCAATGGAAAGCCGTTGTTGACAATACTCTCTTTCAAACTGCAACTAGATGATTTTTGAAAGTGCCCTAATTAATGTCCAAATTAGCTTTCCATGTTTTTTATGTTTTTATTTTCCACCAGAGCCTCATTTTGTGTCTGCCTATGAAATCGGCCGGTTTGCCTACTTCTTCCTGAGAGAGACTGCAGTGGAAAACGACTGTGGGAAAACGGTGTTCTCTCGGGTGGCACGAGTCTGTAAGAACGATGTGGGGGGACGGTTCTTGTTGGAAGACACCTGGACCACCTTCATGAAGGCTCGCCTGAACTGCTCACGCTCAGGCGAAATCCCTTTCTACTTCAATGAGCTGCAGAGCACCTTCCACTTGCCGGAGCAAGACGTCATTTATGGCATCTTTACCACAAATGTGTGAGGATTATTCTTTTTTTTTAACATGTTTTACTTTGAGTCTGTGAATTTTGGATTCATATCTTGACTCTTTACCTTCTCTTTCTTGTCAAGCTGGTCAAATGAGACTATAATTAACACTTCCCTGTTTCCTTTAGAAACAGCATATCAGCATCGGCTGTTTGTGCCTTCAACCTGAGCTCCATCACTTTGGCTTTCAATGGACCCTTTCGCTTCCAGGAGAACCCCCGCACTGCCTGGCTCTCTACTCCAAACCCTATTCCCAATTTCCAGGTATAATCCCCAAAGCAAAGATCATCTATTTCATGTTGAATCCAAGCGACAGCTGTTTGCTTCGCCCTCCTCATTCCTACAAAATCAATTATTTCCCATAAGCAATATTAGGAATTCCTGTCATTTTGTCCATATCTTAATACCTGAATCCTCATAAACACAAACACCTTTACCGTCGCTGGGATTTCATAAGTGTTGAAATTCTCAAAGCAATAAACCATAAAAGTAAAATATTTCAGCAAAAAATAGAAATGTAATAGTTTCCCAAATCTTAAAATACAGATCGTAACATCGTCTTTTGAAGAAGAGAGAAAACAAAAAAAAAACATTTCTTTGGTCTGTAGTTTTACACAAACCTTTGCAGAAATGTTTGTTGTGAATTCATGATGAACTCTTGCATTTACAAGTAAAGCTTAAAAATGTTAATATTCTGGAAAACAATGGTAAGGTTGAGTGGAAGGAGAAAGTGTTCTTTGACCTGCCTGTCTGCATGCTATTGGTCTTCAGTGCGGCACACTGGAGGAAGACGGCCCCGGAGGGAACCTAACAGAGCGTAGTCTTCAGGACGCACAGCGGCTTTTCCTCATGAGTGACGTCGTCCAGCCAATCACCACTGACCCCTTTCTTACCCAGGACAATGTCCGCTTCTCCAAGCTGGTGGTGGACATTGTGCAAGGCCAGAGTGCTCTCTACCACGTCATGTACATTGGCACAGGTAACAAAAGGAGATTTATTCCTCAGTAAAATATGTGATAATCCTCTAGATATGTTGCTCACTTTAAATTTGATGTGGCCCGATCCAATCAGAGTATGGCAGCATCCTGAAGGCTTTGGCCACAACCAACAAAAGCCTTCATGGCTGCTACCTTGAAGAGCTCCGGATCCTCCCAGAGGGGCAAAGGGGAACAATAAAGAGTCTGAAAATCCTGCAGAAGGACAGGTCGCTGTTCGTGGGCCTCAACGACAGACTGGTGAAGATCCCATTGGAACGCTGCTCAAGTTATTCAACCGAGCGGTACGAAGCTGACCACCTGCCTTCTCAATGAGACTCTGCATCACCAGGTCTACAACCTGGTGATGTCTTCCACTGTGTTACCAGCTGAAGACATCTGTAAACTGACTGACAATTAAATTTCAATTACATTTGTGGCTGCACCACCTTCATCAACATGCTTTGAGCTAAACAAATTCATTGTAGGACTATCTGCATTGTGTAATGTTCTCAGATTTAAAGATAATGTTTGTGCGAGCCACAAAACAAAGATGAGGCTTCCGTCTGCTTTAGGAGCTGCCTGGAGGCTCGGGATCCTTACTGCGGATGGGATCTGGAGCAGAAACTATGCACCACCATTGAGGGAAGTTCCAACATGAACCATTGGATCCAAAACATCACCGAATGCCCAGTAAGAACAAGTTCTAGGTATTATTGTAACCCAGTACATTCCTGGATGATAGTGACTAAGACTCATGTGACTCCTTCGGAGGTGAGGAACTTGACGCAGGATGGTGGGTTTGGTCCCTGGGCAGTGTGGCAGCCTTGTAACCATGACGATGGTGAGGGCACTTTCAGCAGCTGCAAGTGTCGGTCCCGCTCGTGTGACGGACCGGTGGCCAGATGTGGAGGGGTTGAATGCAAAGGTCCAACCATCCAAGTGGCGAACTGCTCCAGGTAAAGTTGATTTCCATGGAGATCTTTAGGATTTCAACACTATTTTCTAAATATCCACTAAAACAACTTCAGGATTTTAAAAAAAATTGCCCACAAGATCAACTCTAATAAATCTAAAAATGCTCACGTTACCCCAATCTTCACATAGAAATGGTGGCTGGACTCCTTGGTCCTCCTGGGGTCAGTGCAGCAGCAGCTGTGGCATCGGATTTGAGGTGAGGCAGCGGTCCTGCAACAACCCCTCGCCTCGCCATGGCGGTCGAATATGCGTCGGTCAGGGTCGGGAGGAGCGGTGAGGAACCCACCCTCCTGCGGCTGCTACAAACGTGTCAGGACTGACAGTGAAGACACCGTTTGTTTTTGCGATTTTTATTTTTTGCAGGCTGTGCAATGAGAAAAAGCTGTGTCCTCTGCCTGTGTTGTGGACAGCCTGGGGTCCCTGGGCTCATTGCAGCGCTGATTGTGGTGGAGGGGTCCAGTCCAGGTCTAGAACCTGTGAGAATGGGAACACCTGCCCTGGATGTGCAATGGTACAGGCATGCTTTGAATAAAATCAAATGTTTGCGGGAAGAAATCTGTAGAAAATCTGTAAATATTTAAAAAATCTTTTGAAAAAATGCTGTTTCTTTTATGTTAGCTCAGTGTAGGGAGTGTGAAGTGTAACTAAATACTTTTGAGATTCCTTTATACTGATTTCCAGGAGTATAAAGTCTGCAACTTGGAGAGCTGTCCTGAGGTGCGTCGCAACACCCCCTGGACACCCTGGATGCCGGTCAATGTCAGCCACGACGGGTCCCGCCAGGAGCAGAGATTCAGATACACCTGCCGGGCGCCACTTCATGACCTCCAGCAACTCCAGCTGGGCAAGAAGAAGCTGGAGACCCGCTTCTGCCCGAACGACGGCTCCGGAGCTTGCCAGACTGACTGTGAGTACTGGACACAGCAGCAAAACAATGCTGATGAAGCAGTAAAAACACATTTGGTACTGACTGTGATCTCACGGTCCCTTAATGATGGCGAATCCAGATGCCAGTTTGATTGTTGGGGTTGTTTCTGTCCGAAACTTGGACAGTTTTTATGGAAAAACCTGGATTTTACAGGTCTGGAAAAGTGTAGAAATAGAACAATTATTTCCCTTTTCTAAGTGAATCTTTGGAAAAGGATTCCCTTTTCTAATTTATATCCTTCTCTTTGTTCATTTTTACATCACTTAATCCATTTTTCTTCTTACTTTGGCTGCAGTACAGAGACTAAATTCAAATTTGAAACCCTGAACGCTTCAGATTCATATGTAAATAATTTGTGATTGTGGGTGCCTGTTGGTGCTTTCAGTTTGACCCACATTGCACTTCATTAATTAATGTTTCACAACACTCTGTCTGCTGAGTCTGCCAGTACTGGCCCTTTATTTGAACTCATGGACCACTTGGATTTTCTGAACTCGTATGCAGTTTGGACGCTGCTCATAACAAGAACTTAGGAATTCAACTGACTGAAAGTAACCGTACTTTCGCCGGATTTGTAGCTCTGGTTGAAGAGTTGGTGCGGACCAGTGGCAGAACTACGTCCCAACCCCAAGGTGCCCGATGGGGACCATGGGAAATGTGGTCCAGCTGCTCTCAGCAGTGTTCCAGAGGTTTCCGGACCAGAAAACGTAGCTGCTCCACGTCAGAAGGAAGGACCAACCTGGCAGCTTGTGCTGGATCTCCGGTGGAGTATCAGGACTGTAATGCTCACCCCTGCCCAGGTAAACTGTTCACTAGTTTACGATAGTGAATGGAGTAATCATGGTGAATCAATTACTGAAATAATATTTAGTCATTTTTTTTAGTAATTTATTAATTATTAACTGGAATCAAAAAAGGCCAGTTGCTGAAAAAAAAACCATTCTCAGCAGTAATTAAGCCAAAATGCCTCAAGTTCAAATTCACTAAAGTTATTGAATTTTAGGCAATAAAATGTTTAACAGAAAGTGTTAAACATTTTTAACACTTTTAAAACACTTTTAATCTTATGTGAAAAAAGGCAAAGTGGTTGAATAAGAAATCTGCAAACTATTCTCTATCAGATTAATCAATGGAAGTGATCACTTTGCAGTGAGTGGAGCCTGGTCATGCTGGTCTGCCTGGACCCAGTGTTCATCCAGCTGTGGAGGCGGCCACCATCAGCGAACTCGGACATGCAGCAGCCCGGCCCCTGCAAATGGAGGGGACATTTGCATCGGCCTGCACACAGAGGAGGCCCTCTGTAATATACACCCCTGTGAAGGTATCCACTGTATATGCAATGCAAAAGATGTACCGCAATGATCCTGCAGCCAGAATTCAAGAACGCGGTTAGACAATATTTGAATCAAAGTGGTTGAAAACAAATGCACGCCACACTTTTCAGATAAGATACACTGAAGTTTGTTTTTACATGAAAGAATGTTAAAAGGATAAAGGGATATAAGTCAACTGAAAGGCTGTGAAGGCTTAAAAAAAAAAAACTTTTGCAAATTAATTCCTTTCAAATTGATTAGGTTCTTCAGTGAAACTGCACATATATTATTTAAAATCCATCCTTATTGCCAGGTCAAATAAAAGCAAGTAATTTATCTAATTTTTGTCAGTTTATGATTTTTAAAAAAATTATTTACACATTAGTTCTTCCTTATGAATACCTCCATTTATTTTTTCATTCATTTAAAACTGGAACTGCCATTGAGGAATTAATATGACCTTAATGACCTAAGGTTTTTCGCATTTTTCAGCGTGTCATCAAAAGATATAAAAACGGTGCTTGAATGAACACTGCTGGGAAATTCACCACAAACAAATCAATATTTGCAGTGAGAAGGAAAATAATTTGGATGTGTGAGTCTGGACAAGCACGAGGAGGGAAAAAAAAGGTCTAGCACTGTAGTTTGTGCAAAAAAGCAATTTTTAAAAATTGTTTCTATGTCCTGCTCTGCAGGCTGGGGTGAATGGATGGACTGGGGCGAGTGTGATGACGAGGGTGTGCAGCATCGCAGCCGGCGTTGTGGGGAGGAGCAGGAGGCTGAGGCCAGCCTCTGCCAGGGAAACCTCACTCAGTCCAGGCTATGTCAGCCACATGAGGTACCAGGTATGCAGGCATTTCTACCAGGACACTGCTTTAGAAAAATGGCAAATTTCTGCAGAGACCCAACCAATGTGACTTTCTTCCTTTAACTCTGTCTGTTTTCAGTTATTTTACCCGGGCAGGAGAACCAGAGCTGTGGAAGTAAGTCGGTTGTTTTTAAGGCTCAGTTTTTTCTACTGTTGTATGTTGGGGGAAATAAGCATTGAGAGAACAGAGACCTGTTTGCTTTTGTTTCCAGATTTCACCTTGTTCCAGTTGGTGGCAGTGGGCCTCGCCAGCTTCTTCGCTGCAGCTCTCCTCTCAGCGCTGGCATACTCGTACTGCCACCACCTGAACCGGCCGTCGGCAGAGTCTGCCGTCATCCACCCCAGCACACCCAACCACCTGACGTACAACAAGCAGGGCAATGCCGCGCCAAAGAACGAGAAGTACATCCCCATGGAGTTCAAGGTGGGCCTGCTGGCTGTGATGTGAATAGCACTTCCTCCACTGACAGATTCATTTTGCTTTGGAGCTTTTCTCACTTTTTGTCAAATTAAGAAAAACACACAAATCTACAAGAGGACAAACAACTTTTCACATCACTGTATAATATATATTAACTTAGGGAATGTTTTTTCAAATGCTCTCTTTATGCTGCAGACGCTAAACAAGAACAACCTCCATGTCAACGACGAGACGTGCAACCACTTCTCCTCCCCGATGGCGTCCAGCAACATGTTCACCGCCACCTACTACCCTCCCTGTGTGAGCAAGTACGACTTCCACCCCGACTCGCCCTGCAGGTCCTACATGCACAGCTGAGAGGAGCAGTTTCTATGCCAACATAACCAGAAAACTTCCTGAAAGTTAAAAACATCTTCCTGGCTGTTGGAATTTTTTTTTATTGGGTGCAGTTTCCTCCCAATCACCAGAAACATCCTAATTAAGGACAAATATCCAAACAGTTTTCAGTTAACATCTACTATTATGAATTATAAAGAACATCATTGAAAATAAATGTCACTTATTTCAGAAATTCAATTCAAAAAGTGGATATTTTGAGGCACTACAGGCTCAGTAATATTTATTTATTTTAAATTTGGTAATACTGGATGTAATGAACACCCAAAAGTTTTGGAAAACTTGATTGTTGCACAAAACCAATGAAACAAGGGAAATCTGGCTTCCTATTCATTATATATTTCACCACATTATTGGAAAGTTGAGTGGAAGGAAAAGGTTCAACTAAAAAAACGGCATAATAAATTTTGAGTTCTATCAGCAGCCAATATTGCATTCATATAGTAATTCATGCAAAAGGAGCCCTGACCAAATAGTATGTGGGAATACTTCTCAGTTGGGTGACATTTCTGTATTTAAAAAACAAAACAAACATCTTTAATACACTTTTCAATAGAATATATTTTTTAAGTTTTTCCTCAGCTGTAAACCACAGTCATCACAACGAACAGAAATCTACTCTCAAAATACATTTAGCGCGTAATAAGTCTACATAAAATATGACTTTCACTCTTTGAATGGAATTTCTGAAGCAAACGTCTCGATATCCAAATTCATAGAGATCCACCCATAGAAAGAAGAAGAAGACCTTCCTCTGGTCTCAAACATCATGTCAATCACAAACAAAGAGCTGCCTTTGGTCAGGCTGACTCAAGAGCCACCCAGACGTCATTGCCAGAGGCTCAGGGGAATCAAAACAAAAATGTTCTCGCCTTCAACTCCACAAGCAGGATGTGTTGTTTTATGAACTCTGAAAACTAAAAATGGCTGCTGACATTCTGCACTGATGTTCTGGCGGAGTGACAGAGCGGTTTCAACTCTGGGAAACCAACTCTTAATAGGAACCATCAGGATTTCTTACACCCTGTTGAGCAACAGACTGGTTCACAAGGTATAACACATGCTAACAGACATGCACTCTCTGAAAGGATTTCTGCTTTGACGTGCGGATCTGTGGCTCACTTGCTTTAATTTTCGTGTCAAAACTACAATGAAAAGAAGACGAAACAGAAAACTTAAATGTTTTTAATCAGCAGAATGGTGTTCAGTGGTGGAATATTCATGGATGTGAACATAAAATTCAATCAAGCTATATTTGAGGCATTTCCAGTCCTGGTCAGAAGTTTCCATACTTCTTTGATTCAAGGTTTTAAAAATGGATTTAACATGTCCTTCCAGAATAGAGGGGTTATACAACAACTATCCTGAGAAAGGTTTGCATTTATTGTGTTTTTAATCCACAGAGAATCAAACTTACAGGCTTAAATTTATACACAAGCAAAAACAGCAGTGGTTTGACTGCAGCTTGCTTAAAGAGACCAAATGTTAATGGTAAAATCTATAGTAAATTGAAAAGATTCGAAATGCTGTTGCAGTTGCAAGTTTTATACTTATTTGCAAAATAACGGATCAAATAAATCCCCATTAACCCCAAGTTATTGACATTTATTACAGTAAATGTACATATAAACTTCTGAATGAAACTGTACTGTATATAGAATATTTATTTGGTTAAGGAAGTTTCCCCATCTGTGGTTTTGAGCAATATCTCTGATGATAAAGTAAAATTCAGACACATTCAAGACTTTTTGTTGTTGTTGTTATTTCATGTGAATCACACATTTTCTTAAATTACAAACAATTCAGCTTTGTTCCTCAAACTGAGTAGATACAAATCAATAATATAATCATGTCACAAATGAAAAAAAAAAAACAATTAAGTTACTATATCGTGTGTAAATATTGTTTTTATGTGCTGCCTCTTAAGTTTTGGGGATTTGAAGCTATTTCTTAGAGATCATATATTGTTCGATTAATGAGAAACAAAAACAAACATTTAAACAAAAGTTTTACATCCTTTGTATACAGTGTTCTGAAAAAGTATTTGCCCCCATTCAGATTTTCTCTCCTTTTTTGCTTTTTCAGTTAGACTTATTTTAATGCTTCATTTTGTTGATTTTTTTGTTTTTAGACAAAAGAATTGAGGCCATTTTCAAATTCTTAGTTAGCAAATAAAGGAAATTATTGGTAACTATACTGACCACTCAATTGCTGCAAAATGCTTAAACTTTATAGAAAAATTCTTTAATTTACAGTATAAGTGAAATTGAGGAGTGCCGCCATCAAATTAAAGGTAAATAGATCCATGCATATTCAGACTAAGGTTAAAAAAATATATGTAACTACATAAAACGAGATGGTAAAGTAAGACCAAAATTATAGAAAAGTAATACAGTAGAGCTACTTCAAATAGCATTCTTGTTTTAATTAGAAAGATACAAAATATGATATGTTGAGAATAAGCATCAACAAGCATTAGTAGCAGATTTGCCACAAAAGGTTAAAGTCCTGGTAGTTTTAAAGTATAAATAAAATACATTTGAAAGGAGGAAAAAATGGTTTCAGTGCACTGTGCCTTACTTAAGGTTGTGAAATTCTGTATTATTATCATATAATTTTCCCAAAGTATGAATTTATCCTAGGATTTCTGCTTTGGGACTCATTAAGCAAAGATGTCATTAATAACGCCAGAGATATTCAAACTCTCAAACATTTTCGCACTTTTTAGCTGAAATTACACATTTTTCTCTGTATCTGGTGCCAAATGACATTGTTTCTTTGACGGATATCTTTTCTGAATATGTTAGAAATTAGATGATTTTGTAAAATAGCAAAAGAAATTGTACCGTTTTAAGTTGATGACAAATTTTGTTCACTTCTTTGCTGATGTAGCACTACTTGTACTATACCTGCCCTTAACTAAAAAAAAGTTATTTTTGTGACCTTTATCTAAATCAAAATGAGCAAGAAATTGTGTTTTTTTGTTTGCTTGTTTGTTTCTGTGCCATGTTTATATCACTGTGTGTGTCTAAATCACAAATCTGACTATAATGAGACACCCTCTCAAAGATAGAGCCTTGCAAAAGCTTTCAACCAGTAGTACTATTTCTCCAGAAGAAAAGTATAACCACAGCATGATGCCATCACTGCTATGTTTCACAATGGAGTTCTGGCTGCTTCTTTGTATTGGTCTTTCATGTGAACTGGAGTCTGTGGTTACAACCTCATAAATGTGAAAAAGGTTCAAGAGGAGTGAATACTTTTGCAAATGTTGAGATAAGAAGCAGAAAACACCTAATTTGGATAGAGATCTGTTGAACTTAATTCAGTATCCTCCTCACACTTTGCTCAAAGAGCCCTAAAAGTATTTTTTTTTGCCCTAAAAAAAACTCGCTTGATGTGAATTTGACTGAACACTGCCTTTTTTTGGACACTGTAAACTTTTGGTACTCTATATTTTTGTATGATGTATACTGTGAAAAGAAAAATCCAGGTGAATAAATGACTTATGATGCCAGTATTTTTGTATTATTTGTGAAATACAGAAAACTGTCATATCTGTCAGACAGAGGGGTGGTATTTTGTGTTTTCCCCTCTTCTAATGCCACCCTGGGCAATTGTCAATAATGGCCCAATTCAAAAACAGCTGCTGATACAGCAGTAACGCTACAAGGCTTTTAAAACTGCTATATCAGTGGCATCACCAAGTAAAACTGGGCAATATTTCCAACTTTAGCTGTTCTTAACAGCATCTGAGAGACAGAATTTGTGCAGAGTAAAGTATAAACAATAATCTTAGTCATAACATGTAAAAGTAACATGGAACGAATACAGTTTTAAGAGTGTCTGCTGGTTTTAAAACTAGCTTATTGTCTAGAGAGTGACCCTTACAGGTCAGCTCAAGGTCACGTTAATCTGATTCATAAAATCCAGCTGACCAGCAGAAGAGCAAAGAGTTTCTAGAGGGGAATGGTCAAAAGTAAGAAATGTGTGGATGAACATAAAAGAAACATGAATGACTCAAATTTAGTGATGCGTCTTCCTTCTTTTCCATTAGGTGATGTCTTAAATATTTAATGCTACATGTCAGAAATGCAGGTAGACATGGAGGTTTAGTTTGTTTGTCTTTTTTTTCTAGTGCTGCATCTTGACTATGTTGCTACATTTTACAGGAGCAGGTAAGAAGTGCTGAAGTGATGAATTATAGAGGTAGAAAGGACGAATTGAGTGGATTCCTCTTGAAGCCTTGATCCAAACATGAGGAACGAGAACATACACAGTGGATGCCTTGAACGGGAATGCTTTCTGCAGAAGATGATCATAAAAATCATATCTCTAGACTTTGTATATTTCTCAAAAATGTTTTCAGTTCTGCAAACAAAGGTTTTAGAGATTTTGAGTTGTGAAAGCGAACAAAAAAAACCAACAAAAAAACCCTGGGGAAATTCTGGTCAAAACACTTCATGGTCACTACACACATTTTAATCCTGTTTGTATTTCACTGACAGTTCAGCCATTTAATCACGATGGTACCAACTGGTTCCTACCTAAAGACCAACACTTTGAAGCCTCAAAATTTACCAGAGAACATTATTAAATGAACTCTTTCTGGGTCTACTTCAATAGAACTTTTAGATCATTCCAATAACTCCATGGATATCGGTGGTCAGATTATGGTTACATCACTGACTATCCCTTCTTCCCCAAACAATTCCCACATAAATGCTTCAAACAGACAGCTCTGTAGTGTTTATAGCTCACAATCCACCAAGCAGTGACACTCTAATGTCTGACAATTTAAAAGGCCTGCAAATCCACCAGCTTGCCCAAATAGACAAAAGTATGAACACCTATTAATTTATATATTTATGCATGTTTCTTACTGGAAAAAGGAGTGTATAAGGTGGTTTCATTTATTGTTTGTTTGCAATAGCATGGATATCTTTGCTCACTTTATCATTGCTAAACTTATGGTAACACAAACCAAACAATTCAACTGTTCCAATACAAAACACGTTTTCATCCATCATTATTTTTGCCAGCAATAAATTGGGTCACTAAGACCTAATTATTGGTCTAAGTTGCTCTTTCTGACCTGCTTCAGAAAGAGCAACATAATCCTTCCAGTTTTAAGTTGCATAATCCACCACATACATTAGTTAGACTGGTGTGATCAAAGCGAGCGTGAACATGCGCTGACATAAGTCTGAGAGACAAATTGGCTCCTTTTCACATGTTCAGTGGATGATGTGAAGTGCCCAGTCGCTAACATAACACGTGTTGCCTCTGGGACACTGTACATCACATGCTTCACCGGTACAAGCCAAAAATAAAGTTTGCACTTAGTTTTGTTATCTGTGCCACTGGACCAGCGTGTTTACATCTTTGGGTCTTCCTAAATGGATTTGTGCAATGTTGAGTAACAGAGGGGTTTCTGTGTGGTCCTTCATGAAAACAGAGGAAGCTATTTAAAGCAAAGTGAAAATACAGTTTGAAACCTGTGATATGTCACTGCAGTTTTGTTCAGGTGAGTGAATGCTGCAAGGTGTGTTACTGAAATGGCAACTGGAGATAAGTGCCACTCAAAAATTTAGACGTTTGAGTAATGGAAGAGCTTCCAGCTGGACTTTCTAAAGTTTTATCGTCTAGTTTCAAGCAGATTGTTAAAGATCAAGTCCCAATTTTAACCAACTTTTTCTTAAAACGTAACACCTACAACACTGTCCTCATACCTGAAAGATAAAAATAACCTAATACATCTGTCAAAATAACTTTTGTACACTCATCTAACTCCCGGATTGCAGAAATATATAGATATATATATATTTGCTTTTGTTTGTTTATGGCTTATGAAGATGATCTTACTTGTGTCACTGTGGAGCTGGATAGTTATATGTAGAAGTTTGCAGTCCAAGAGGATGTAAAAGTGCAGTGTGGAGAAGATCTGCAAAATTAAGCACAAGCCAGTGATAATCAAAAAACAGATCATTTCAGTTCTGAACAGATGTGTTCACTTTCACTAAAAAATGTGAAAAGTTTCAATATATTTTCTGTTTCCTAGATAGAACAAAATAGCAGCCAAGAATGGAGCTTCACTGAACGTTAGCCTTGTTTATGTTAGTAAGTCAATAAAAACCTGCAAAACCCAAGTGTTGTGTGTAAACAGGATACTGGTAAAGTTTGTTTCCACTCTATTACTAACAGTGTTGGCAAACAAAGTAAATAGTACTGAAAGTATTATAACAGGAACAAAACACTTAATTAATCTCTACTATTGGTAACTAAATTGTTGCATGTTTTAAAGCATGAATAATGTATGTGTAAATTGAGTATTACAACAAATTTTTTTGCTCTTGTGACGTACGTTCAGGGCTGTAATGGCGTACCTTGCCTGGCTTGTCTTTGTTGGGGATCTTGCCAGTGATCACCTGGAGATTGGCCCCTTGAAGCCACCTGACAGGGGAGAATTTGAGTTCAGATGCCATGAAAACCAAGTCATATTACAATAGAATTTATGGACATAGAGAGCATATTATTTGTCATAATAGATTTGCTTTAAATCCTCCGAAAAGAATGAATAATGGATTATGCTACAATTGTGACAATTACCCAGGACCACAACTAACAATGATTAGGATTTAAAGCATGGCTGAAATTAAGCAGAGCATAAATCATATAACACATGTCAATCTGTCTTCTAAGAAGACAGATTATTTTTTCTGTAAAATTATCACCCTGCACACTCTAAATATCCAGAGCATTTCTGAAGCTGCATTTATTTAGATAATACTGCTATCTGCTGGACAAAACAAGAAACAACACTCCCTCAGTCAATGGATGACTGTTGCCAGCTATTAACGTTGATAAACGTCGACAAAGCATACAAAAAATATACATTACAGGGGAAGGAATCTGCTTCATCAATATTTTCTGAACGGTGACAATTCCTTACTTTGATCAAAAACCATTGAAATGCATGCAATTATTGGTTGCAAAGAAATGGGAACAAAAACATCCTTATTTTGTGTTTTTGTCACTACATTTAAGATTTAATGTGTAGCCTGTGTCAATAAACTGAATTTTAATTCACCAAAATTGGATATCAGACTAAAAATTAGTGCCTGGAGTGATTAGTCTCAATTTCAGCAGCAACATTCAGAGTGCAGGGTCAAAATGTGGGCATAAACGTGAAAGCAAAAATGTTTCCCCCTTTGTAGCAACAGCTCAGACTGTCGGTGCATTTTAATTAAACTAATCAGAAACATTGAGAACTAACAACACATTTGTCTGCTAAACTAGTCCTGTCACAAAGCTAAGATCATCTCAAACTGGTTCCTTGAGCATGACGATTAATCCACTGTTCTCCAATGGTATCCACAATCAACATTTCTCAATCAAACAGTTCCCAGTTGAACCTGATAAAGTGGCCAGTAAGCGCAACCTTTACACCTTTTATGCACTTTATGGGATCCCATTTTGACAAAAACACAGGTCAAATTATAATGGTGGTTACCATAAAGCTAATTCCAAGAAGAAAATATCTTCCTTTCAGAAGTACATCAATTATCTGGAGCGTCCCACTGTGCGCCCCTCGTCCCTTCGTCCCCTCCTCTCCTCGTGTTGCTGCAGTGGACCCGTCCAGCGTGGAGCGCAGCTGGCTCTGAGCGCCTGTCTGCTGGCGGACAGTGAAGGAAGCAGCGGCCGCGGAGCGCTCATGTTCAACCACGCAGAGTGAAGCTGGAGCAAGCAGCCAGGAACCCGCCTCCCTTGCGCTGGGCTGGGCCGGAGCAGCCTGCCCTCTGGACCGATGTTCTGGCCGAAATGTCCCGACACATCTACATCCGGAACAAAATAGGAGAGGGCATCCAAGCACCCATCTTTCAGGTGAGTTTTAAGTTTTATGCTTTTGTAGAAATAGATTCAAAGTAGGGTCAAGAGGCATCTTAAATTAGACCTTATTTGATGAAAACCATTTTAACATCAACATAATTTATTCCGACTTTGACAGTGTTGCTGATGCTATGCTTGCATCTCCATGTTTACAACAAATAATATTAATTTATAACTTATTATATTTACAACATTCAATCGATGGCTTAAAACATACTATTTTAATATATATATTTTTTAACTTTAATGAGTCTCACATCCAAACTATATTTTTGGCTGAACAAAAATTGTTTATTAAACATTTTTTCTCTCTGCAGAACCACTGAAGAGAAAACTGAATCTCGACTTTGTTTGTACATGTATCAGTCTCCTTTCATATATTGTTTCTCTATTTTTTAATATATTTCAATACATAAATTATGCAGCAGAAACTCCTCAAAAGTATCCTACGTCAGTGTGTGTCTACAACTAGTAGATTTTCACTGTCAAAGTGAAAGAAATGCCTCATTCCCTGCCAGATAACGATTTTCTCTATGCACATATTAATAGAAACATATCACCAGACTTCATTCTTCACTTTGTTTCATTTGAGGGGCCAAAGAATGATGTTGACCCAGATTAGTGGCC